TTTCTACCTTCCAGTGTTTTTGTTGTTTGCTCAATTAAAGCAGGCACAGACAACTCTCTAAACCAATTTCAAGGCAACATTAAAACATGATTTTATAATAAAGTGGATATATTTATGCCAATATGTAAGATGGCGATTTAACTTTGCTATTTTAGGGTCGCTATGAGTTGGCATCGACTGGATGGCAACGGGTTTGGTTTGGTTTTTCTTTACTGGAGCCTATGCTGAGTGATAGTTTTCAGGAGACCACCTGGGGGCAGACTAGGAACAAACTGAAGAAAACTAATCTGCAATCTGGAACTTCCTGCTCTGGTGAAAATTTACATTCAAACTGAATGGATCTGGTTTTATTTTTTTCCTTTTACTGGATTTTCTTTTGTTTTCTCCTGTATGTGAAAATAATTTCACTATTCCTTCATGCAGCTTTGGAAATTTTATTGAGCACTAAAAATCTAAACCCATTTGATCATATTCATCTTCTCTCTTACTTTGTTCGATGACACAGAATAATAATTTGAAGTCATATGTTAAGCTGGAGAAACAAATTGTCATAGCCTTCATTATCTTCATTAATTAATTTCTCTTGTAATCTTTTGTTTATTTACAAAAAAAATAGAATGATTTATTTGTTTTCATATCAGGTATACAGATCAATATTTTAACAATAAATATTTGGGTACTCTTGCATTTCTTATTGTGGCCTTGTGGTTTGACTGAAACTTTCAAACATCTCTCCATATTTACTCGAAGATCACTCAGTTAGTTGAGGAAATACTTTCTAAAAAGAGTTTTTATTTATTTATTTTTTTCAGGTATTGTATTTGTGTGTGCCCTTACATTTAGAAATGGCAACCATTGTGTAAAAATTCTGCAGCTAAGCCATAGAAAAGCAGTCATTGGCACAGAAATGAATAAACTCACTTCTGCACTCATCTGTAATAATTAAGGGAATGTTCAAAACTGTTTTACTGAAGATAAATCAGCCTTTTAATCTATAATAAATCAATGAGAGTCAGACAATGAATCAATCCGTAAACCAATAACCAGTTTCTCTGAACTGCACTCTAACGCGTGGTGACTCCATGAGTGTCAGAGTAGAGCTGTGCCCCACACGGTTTTCAATGATTGCTTTTTCAAAAATAGATCTCCAGACCTTCTTTATGAGGCGCTTCTGGGTGGACTCAAGCCTCCAGCTATCAGTTAGCAGCTGAGCGAGTTGACCATTTGCACCAGCCAGGGGCTCCGTGTTCATTCCTATTATTTCTAAATCCGTCTATTTTCAGAAATGCAAGTGATAAAACAGTCTTAGTACTTAAATATTGAAATGAGGGGTTTCACTTAAATTATTATAGCTGACTTATAACATTTTCTAGTCATTTAGCCTCTGTCTCCAATTCCAAATTACTGGTTGCATGCTAGCCCAGGCATAAAAAAACAACAACAAAAAAAAAAAACCTGTCGATGTCTCCTAATTCCAGGTAGTCACAATTTAACCTCATTGTCAATTCATTTGTTCAAAATCAAAGAAAATATATATATGCTTAAATTTGGTTTTGAATATATAAAATAAAGATTTAAAAGTCATATAATTGTGATCTACTTCTAAATAGACAGAATTCATCCTAACCTAGGGATATAGGAAATGTAAGAGCAGACAAGGAGCCCTGGTGATGAAATGGTTAAGCACTAGGCTGCTAACTGAAAGATCGACAGTTCGAACCCACCAGCGATTCCTCAGGAGAAAAGACCTGGAGATCTGCTCCCCTAAAGATTACAACCTAGGAAACCCTATGGGGCAGTCCTACCCTGTCCTACAGGGTTGCTGTGAGTTGGAATCGATGGCACCCAACAACGAACGGAGCAGATTGCTGTTGTTTGGTGCTGTTGAGTCCATTCCAACTCATAGGGACCCCACGTACAACAGAACAAAACACTGCCCGGTCCTGTGCCATCCTCACAATTGTTGCTGTGTTTGATTGAGCCCATTGTTGCAGCCACTGTGTGTGTCAATCCATCTTGTTGAGGGCCTTCCTCTTTTTCGACAATCCTCTACTTTACCAAGCATGATGTCCCTCTCCAGGGACTGGTTCCTCCCGATAACATGTCCAAAGTATGTGAGACGAACACCATCCTTGCATCTAAGGAGCATTGTGGCTGTACTTCTTCCAAGACAGATTTGTTTGTTCTTCAGGCAGTCCCTGGTATATTCAATATTCTTCAGATAGTTACTAAAAGTTGAACTCTTCATAGCTGAAAGGCCAAACCACTTGTAACCCTGTTGAACTGCCCACTCCCACAACACACCCTGCAAGTCAGGGTTTGAAAAAGAGGAAATGCCTTTTCTAAACTGTAAGTCTTTTAATAGGCATGTGATTTTAAAAGACAAGACAAAGCTGACAAATAAGAATCATTGCGTAGGATCAGCCACTTTTCAGGGAAAGGATTTAAATCATCAGGGAGGGTATTCTGGGGACTCTGCCAGGATCAGAAGATTATAGCTTTTAGCTTTAACAGCTTAAAGTTGAAAAGAACACGAGGTTCCTATTTGGATGACATGAACCAATACTGGTATGCCTGATTCATCCAGAAGTCGTCAGAACATGTCTCTCCAGGTCTCAGAAATAGGAAAGATAATAGTAGGACTCACTCAAGTGTGAGTCACCTCACAAGGGCTTTGTGCAGGTCGAGACCTCTTGAGAATCTGAGGCCTCAGCCTGGAAGAGAAGAGTCACATCACATCATCAAGAGACAAAATGGAGGACGTTTGTTCGCCAGAAGAGTCAGCTGGTCAGGGTTTTACCTGGGAGAAAGAACTTTCACTCTTATACCTTCTCCAAAAGGAGTCAACAAGATGTTCACTGAGAGAAAACAGGATTAGAATGAAACATTCAGCCTTCTTACACACCCACAGTGTCTCCTTCAGAGCCTTAAAAGTAGCAAAATGGAGTTGTTTTTTGTTTGTTTTAGAGAAGCTGGAAAGAAGTGAGAAACCTATCCTCAGCCTCCTCTTAGAATTCTACCATCTTTTTGTGTAAGACTTAAGTTCTAAGTGGTCTTAAGCAATTCCACTCCTGGTGACTCCATGTCTGTCAGAGTAGAATTGCACTCCATAGGATTTTCAATGGCTGATTTTTTCAGAAATAGGTCACCCAGCCTTTCTTCCAACGTGCCTCTAGGTGGACTCCAACCTCCAATATCTCGGTTAGCAGAGTGTGTAGCCATTTGCACCACCCAGGGATGAGGCTTTCCAAAAAAAGTTTATATTTTTTATTTTATTATAATACCCTACCATCGAGTCAATTCCAACTCATAGCAACCCTATAGGACAGAGGAGAACTGCCCCATAGGGTTTCCAAGGAGCGGCTGGTTAGTTGTCTGTCCGCTTTTTTTTTTTTTCTTTCTTAGTGTAAGAAAATCCAAGAAACTCAACTACAAATTCTCCATTTTTCAGAATTCCTTGTAGCTCGTGCTAGCCATGTGACACAGTCCTTGAAAGTAAGATATAAGGATAAGCCTGTTGGTTGGAGCTTCTGAGATTGCTCCTGTTTTCTGATAAAATGGAATGGCCTCCAACGTAACCCATCTTTTGCTAAACTCCCTTCCTGCCTATGCAGATTTTTAAGGTGGTACCCAGATGTACAATAATTGTATTATGGGTTTGTAAGAAAGATGAACAAAAAGAAGAAACCTTGGCTCCTGATGACTAAGTGGGGACCCTGCAGACCCGAAGACTGCCTCTGGCTCTGCTTCTTCATAATTAGAACATATTATACAGGTTACAGTCCCTGGTGGCCCAGTGGGTAGGAGCTCTGTGCTGCTAACCAAAAGGTCGGCAGTTCAAATCCACCAGCTGCTCCTTAGAAACCCTATGGGGCAGTTCTACTCTGTCCCATAGGGTTGCTATGAATCAGAATCCACTCGAGGGCAATGAGGTATTTTTTGTGTGTGTGTCTGTGTTTCTTGGTATACAGGTCATGGTCAAATACAACTAATTCTACCCAGCACTGACAAACAATCAATTTTAGTTGACCTTTGTCTCTGCAATATCAGGATGGACTATTCACAGATTAAAGTTTTCCGTGCTTTTCTGTCATTGGTCAGCTACTTCCACATCTGTAGTCTTTGACTGTTACTAACAAGGTCTTTTCTCATACCTAAGACCCATTTGGCCTTTATTAAAATTCAGATTCTTTACATATATATACATATGTATGTATATATAAACTGTGTCATTAAGTCCATTCTGACTCATGGCAACCCCATGTGTGTCAAAGTAGAACTATGCTTTATAGGGTTTTCAATGGCTGATATTTTTCCCAGAAGCAGATTGCCAGGCCTTTTTTCTGAGGTGCGTCTGGGTGAACTCGAATGGCCAAACTTTTGGTTGACATCCGAGTGTGTCGACTGTTTGTATCACTCATGTTCTCTAAGTTCCCTCTAAATATAATATGACTAATTCCCCAAAGTGCCATGGCGATTTTTAACATGAAATAGTGTAACACTTGGTACTTGGATTCCAGAAGATTTACATAGCAGAAGAGCAATTTATGGTCGTAATGAAATGGCTTTATAGTATTGAAGAGAGTTGGCAATGAACTCATATCAGTGATTAGGAGTACTTCGGACCCTAAATGCACATTGGTTAAGACTTGACATTACCCAGGCAGGCAATATTTGCTTATATTTATCTTCCTGCAATTGCAAATAGTGGCCAACACAGAAGAGTGGGTATATAAGAAAATAAAATCTTGAGAAAATAAGATTAAAAATACAAGAGGAAAAAATCTAATAGAAATAGTAGTTAGACAATGTGGAAAATTGAATGAAATCCCTCAAAGTACAAAGTAGCAACAGAAAAGTGGCTATTTACAATAAGAATTTTTATGTGTATGTGGACTTTAAGTTGACCGTTTCCAAGAAAGACCCATTTCTAATATTTGAATATTCTGATGTTTTTATATCTACTTTATTTTAAAAATATATCATTGATAAATGTTTTGCTATAGATTTTCCCTTAGCCAACTAATATATTGATTTATCATCCTGGAGCTAATTTTCAATTCCAGAAATGCAAATGTGCCGTGGAATCCATCCTCAGCGTGGATATGGGTCACCTGAACTCCAGCCTTTCGAAGTCTGGTGACATACATGAGCCCATCGTCCCTTAAGACGTCATATTGACAGGTGACAACATAGGTCAGGGGTAAATCAGTTTGTTATCATCAGCCAACAAGGGGGCTGCCCTCACATCCAGGAACCCTGGATACTTGTTTGATAGCTCAGAACTATCATAAGTTGGAGTTTTGTAAACATGTCCTTTTTTAAACCTCTCAGGGAGCAAGGAACTCCAGTTAATAAACTTGAATAGATGACTCACTGCCACAGGGATATGCTGGTTCGAAAGCATGGCTTTTTCAAGTGATCCGTCTACAGTAAAATACTCACTCCAGAACCTGACCATGAGTGATTTGGAGAGAACTGGAAAATGTGCGTTTTCTTGATATGATGGTGAGTCTACATCAAGCGGCTGAAGGGCAGGATAAATTAAAGACTGAATCTTGAGTTTGATCTTGACATCTGGGTCATCTAAGAGCTGAAAAATAATCAAGATAACTCACACAAATTGTTTGCATTTTAAAACAACAGAATAACTATAACAAGATATTCTCTATATAAATTAATATTTCTCAAAAACTCTTCAGTGATAAATGAAACATACCATCTCAGCAGACTTTCATAATGGGCTTCTATAACTGAAACCCATTGCTGTTGAGATTCTGACTCATGGCAACCCCATGTGTTACAGAGCAAAACTGAGCTCCATAGGGTTTTCTTGGCTGCAGTCTTTACAAAGCCGACTACCCCAAGAGCAAAACGTTTGCGCCACCCAGGGACGTTTTCTATAACTAAACAAAAAACAAAAAACTTGCCGTCGAGTTGATTCTGACTCATAGTGATCCTCTAGGACAGAGTAGAGCTGCCCCATCTGGTTTCCAAGGAGCAGCTGGTGGATTTGAACTGCTGACCTTTTGGTTAGCTGCCAGCCATAGCTCACCATAGCTTTTAACCACTATTCCACCAGGGCTCCTTTCTATAACTAGATGTTCCTTAATTAGAACATACTTTTAATTTAAAGAAAATCATCTTTCCTGTTTTCCTCATGGATGATGCAAAAGAACCTAATTGATAATTTTAAAAAATCGTCCCCCCTACTTCCAAGAATGACAACCAGAAGAACTTCATAAAGTTGACTTTCATATTATTCTCTTTTGTTCATGTAAGAATATCTTTAAATATCCTACATACCAACAAGTAAGGAGCCCTGGTGGCTCCAACAGTTAAGTGCTCAGCTGCTAGCCGAAAGGTTGGAGGTTTGAACCCACCCAGCAGCTGCGTGGGAGGAAAATCTGGTGATTTTCTGTAAAGATTACAGCCAAGAAAATCTCACAGGGCCGTTCAACTCTGTTACATGAGTTGGCTATGAGTCAAAAATCACTCGATGACACCTAAGAATAACAACATACCAGTAAGCTTTGCTATGGAGAGGAAGGATCCACTAATAAGGATTTCTAATGAGTCTGATGCTAAAGTGAAGTATGATTTTTGGTGATTTGGGCAGGGTCTCCGTGTGAAACATTCTGTTAGCATCACCCTTACCTGCATCAGGCTGAATGTTCTAATATTCATAAAAATCAGTAGTCTTCAATGAGGTACACGAAAACCAGAGTAGGCAAGAAAAATATAAGTTGGAACGAAATGTTAGAAAATATGTTTTAATTTTTGAAAACATTTCTTTAAAATGCAATGTTTGTATATGTTTTCAGAATCCATAATATATTGTAAAACATGTATGTATATGTTATATATGTATACACTTTATATATGAATGTAGATATTATTGGATAGGCTTCAAATACTTCCAATAGCTTGAAACTAGCATAAATTGGATTCATATAAACATGACATTTTGACATTTTAGACAATTCTTCTCAATATTCTTTAATATTTCCAAAATAAATTCCTATACTTATATTTACATTTATATTTTAATATATGCATTGAATATGTTTATAAGTACAGTACTTTAAAAAAAAGATGAGCGTCAATCTGTCGCGTTACAGCTGCGGCTAAATTCCCCCCGCGCACTGTCTCCAGAAACGCCAGTTCTTTCAGGATTCACGCCATATTCTGCAAGAACTTTTTTGCGCAAGAACTTTTTTGCGCAAGAACCACGGTAAGGCATTATATACATCTTCAAATTGAATTGGGAAGTGATACTTAGGTGCTAATCTGTAGCTGTGGAGAGAAAATATATTTTTTTTAAATGTCATTTGTCTTATTTTCTTACTTTTTATTAAAGCATACAACACTTGGGTTTCCATGAGTCAGTCAACTCGTCAGCAATTGTTTTTTTTTTCTTTATACATTCTGGAAGTGTACCCTGGTGGTGTAGTTGTTAAGAGTTCAGCTGCCAACCAAAAGGTTGGCAGTTCGAATCCACCAGGTGCTCCTTGCTAAACTCCTTGGGGCAATTCTACTCTGTCCTATAGGGTTGCAATGAGTCGGAATCAACTCAACGGCAATGGGTTTGGTTTTTTTGGTTTGGAAGTGTACATATCATAAGCACATCACTCTATTAATTTTCAAACTGAACACAGCTGTATAGCCAGCACCCAGATAATGAAACAGAACATTGCAAACACCCCAGAAACCTCCCTTACAGTCTCATTAGTCTTCCCAAACCCAAAAGTAGCCACTAACAGTATAGATTAATTTTGCCTGTTTTTGCCCATTAAATAAATAGAATCATATGGTCTGGACTCTTTGTGTCTGGTTTTATTTGTTCAACATTATGTCTTTGAGACTCATGTACATATACAGTATATAGCCATATTCCTATATAGTATTCTATTTTCTGAATATACGGCAATTCATTTAACCGTTAAAATGTTGGTGGGCATCTGGGCTGTTTGCAATCTTGAGTTTTCACACACAGTGCTCTTATGAACATTCTAGTATATGCTGCAGTAAAAATATGTATTTCTGTTGATATACACCCATGAATGCTATTGCTGGTCACAGAGTTATGCATACATGTTTAGCTTTAGTCAATATTGTTGAAGAGTTTTACAAAATCGTTGTACCAATGTGTTGTTGAACCCACAGTACATAAAAGTTTCTGTTGCTGTCTTTCATTGCCAACTCTTGGTATTTTACATCTTTTTCATTTTAGCTCTAATATTGGGTGTATGTGGGTATTTCCTTTCGGCCTTCATTTACACTTTCCTGACATAAACTAACTTTTCCTATGTTTATTAGCCATTTGAATATGCTTTTTGTAAATTGCCTTTTCATGCATTTTTCTGTACTTCTGTTAATTAGTAGTTGTTTATATTTTTTGGATACCAGTGGAGATAGATAGACAGATAGATATAGATAGATAAATAGATACAGATTCATATATCTATATGTTATGCATTTTAACTCTTGTATTTATATTTTTATGTAACCTCTTTGTTGAGATATAATTTACATACTACCCAATCCTTCCTTTTAAAGTGTACAATTCAATGGTCTTTAGGGTATTAAGAGTTGCGCAACTATCACCACAATCAATTTGAGAACATTTTTATATAAAGAGAAACCTTGTACCCACTAATAGTCACTCTCCATTTCCCCCTGCTCCTCACCTCCAGCTGTAGGCTGACCTCCTTTCTGTCTCTATAGATTTTCCCATTATGGCTATTTCACATAAGCAGAATCATACAATATGTATTCTATTATGACTGGTTTCTCTCGCTTAGCATAATGATTTAAAGGTTTATTCATGTGGCAGCATTTCTTTTTATTGACAAATAATATTCCATTGTATGAATATACTATATTCTATAGATTTGTTTATTACTTGATGGACGTTTTGGTTGTTTCTACTTTTGGGGTTTTATGAATAATGCTGTCACGAACATGCATGTACCAGTTTTTGTATGGACATATGTTTTCATTTCTCTTGAACATATACTTAGAAGTGAAATTGCTGAGTCATAAGTCACTCTAGGTTTAACTTTTTGAGGAACTGCCAAACGGTTTTCCACCATAACTGCACCATTTTTACATTCCTACCATCAGTACGGTACCGTCCAATTTCTCCATGTCCTCACCAACACCTGTTATTATCTTTTTTTTAAAATTATAGTCATCCTAGTGGGTGTGAAGTAGTATTTCATTGTGGTTATGATTTGCATTTTCCTGGTGGCTGATGATATTGAGCATTTTTTCCTGTGCTTATTGGCCTTCTTAATGTCAATATAGTCATAATTACCAATTTTTATAATTTTGTTGTTGTTATTGTTAGGTGCCATCGAGTTGGTTCTGATGCATTGCCACCCTATGCATGACAGAATGAAACACTGCCCCATCCTGTGCCATCCTCACAATCGTTGTTATACTTGAGACCATTGTTGCAGCCACTGTGTCAATCCATCTGTCAAGGGTCTTCCTCTTTTTTGCTGACCCTCCACTCTACCAAGCATGATGTCCTTCTCCAGGGACTGATCCCTTCTGACAACATGTCCAAAGCATGGGAGACTTAGTCTCGCCATCCTTGCTTCCAAGGAGCATTCTGGTTGTACTTCCTCCAAGAGAGACTTGTTTGTTCTTTTGGCAGTCTGTGGCATGTTCAATAATCTTCGTCAACACTGCAATTCAAAGGCATCAATTCTTCTTTGGTCTTCCTTATTCATCATCCAGCTTTCGCATGCATATGAGGTGATTAAAAACTTTGCTTTTTAACACTTTAAAGAGGTCTTTTGCAGCAGATTTGCCCAATGCAATGTATCTTTTGATTTCTTGACTGTTGCTTCCATGGATGTTGATTGTGGATCTAAGTAAAAGGAAATCCTTAGCAACTTCAATCTTTTTGGTCTTTATTGGTCCAGTTGTGAGGATTTTTGTTTTCTTTATGTTGAGGTGTAATCCATACTGAAGGCCACGGTCTTTGATCTTCATCAGTAAGTGCTTCAAGTCCTCTTCACTTTCAGCAAGCAAGGTTGTGTCATCTGCATATATCAGGTTGTTAATAAGTCTTCCTCCAACCCTGATGCCTTGTTCTTCTTCATATACTCCAGCTTCTCGGATTATTTGCTCAGCATATATATAGATTGAATAAGTACAGTGACAGGATACAACCCTGATGCACACTTTTCCTGACTTTAAAGCACACAGTATCCCCTTATTCTGTTTGAACAACTGCCTCTTTATCTATGTACAGGTTCCTCATGAGCACAATTAAGTGTTCTGGAATTCCCTTTCTTCACAATGTTATCCATAATTTGTTATGATCCACACAGTCAAATGAATGCCTTTGCATAGTCAGTAAAACACAGGTAAACATCTTTCTGGTATTCTCTGCTTTCAGCCAGGATCCATCTGACATCAGCAATGATACCCCCGGTTGCACATCCTCTTCTGAATCCAGCTTGAATTTCTGGCAGTTCACCTTTGATATACTGCTATAGCCACTTTTGAATGATCTTCAACAAAATGTTACTTGTTTGTGATATTAAAGATATTGTTTGATAATTCCCGCATTCAGTGGGATCACCCTTTCTTGGGAATAGGCATAAATATGGATCTCTTCCAGTCAGTTGGCCAGGTTTTTGTCTTCCAAATTTCTTGGCATAGACAAGTGAGCACTTCCAGCGGTGCATCTGCTTGTTGAAACATCTCAGCTGGTATTTTGTCAATTCTTGGAGCCTTGTTTTTCCCCAATGCCTTCAGTGCAGCTTGGACTTCTTCTTTCAGTATCATGGGTTCCTGATTATATGTTACCTCCTGAAATGGTTGAATATCGACCAGTTCTTTTTGGTACAGTGACTCTGTGTATTCCTTCCATCTTCTTTTGATGCTTTCTGTGTCATTTAATATTTTCCCCATAGAATCCTTCAAGATTGCAACTTGAGTCTTGAATTTTTTCTTCAGTTCTTTCAGCTTGAGAAATGCCGAACTTGTTCTTCCCTTTTGATTTTCTCTCCAGGTCTTTGTCTTCTTAAGCCGCCCTTTGAAATCTTTTGTTCAGTTCTTTTGCTTTATCATTTCTTCCTTTTGCTTTAGCTACTCAATGTTCCAGAGCAAGTTTCAGAGTCTCTTCTGACATCCATTTTGGTCTTTTCTTTCTTTCCCTGTCTTTTTAATGATCTCTTGCTTTCTTCATGTATAATGTCCCTGACGTCATTTCACAACTCTTCTGGTCTTTGGTCATTAGTGTGTTCAACATGTCAAATCTATTCTTGAGATGATCTCTAAATTCAGGTGGGATATACTCAAGGTCGTACTTTGGCTCTCATGGACTTGTTCTAATTTTCTTCAGTTTCAACTTGAACTTGCATATGAGCAATTGATGGCCTTGTTCTGACTCATGACGTTGAGCTTTTCCATCGTCTCTTTCCACAGATGTAGTCAATTTGATTCCTGTGTATTCTGTCTGGTAAAGTCCACATGTATAGTCCCCATTTATGTTGGTGAAAAAAGGTATTTGCAATGAAGAAGTCACTGGTCTTGCAAAATTCTGTCATGTGATCCCCAGCATCATTTCTATCACCAAGGCCATATTTTCCAACTACCAATCCTTCTTCTTTGTTTCCAACTTTCATATTCCAATCACCAGTAATTATCAATGCATCCTGATTCATGTTCGATCAATTTCAGACTGCAGAAGTTGGTGAAAACTTATAATTTCTTCATCTTTGGCCTTAGTGGTTTGTGTGTAAATTTGAATAATACTGGTATCAACTGGTCTTCCTTGTAGGCGTATGGATATTATCCTATTACTGACAGTGTCGTACTTCAGACGCTGATAGACCTTGAAATGTTCTTTTTGACAATGAATGCAACACCATTTCTCTTCAAGTTGTCATTCTTGGCATAGTAGACCATATGACTGTCCAATTCAAAATGGCCAATACCAGCGCATTTCAGCTCACTAATGCCTAGGATAATGCTGTTTATGTGTTTCATTTCATTTTTGACGATTTCCAATCTTCCTAGATTCATACTTCGTACAGTCCACGTTCCGATTATTAATGGATGTTTGCAGCTGTTTCTTCTCGTTTTGAGTCACGCCACATCAGCAAATGAAGGTCTTGAAGGCTTGACTTCATCCACGTCATTAAGGTGGACTCTACTTTGAGGAAGCAGCTCTTCCCCACTCGTCTTTCGAGTGCCTTCCAACCTGAGGGGCTCATCTTCCGGCACTATATCAGACAATGTTCCACAGCTCTTCATAAGGTTTTCACTGGCTAATTCTTTTCAGAAGTAGACTGCCAGGTCCTTCTTCCTAGACTGTCTTAGTCTGGAAGCTCAGCTGAAACCTGTCCACCATGGGTGACCCTGCTGGTTTTGAATACTAGTGGCATAGCTTCCAGCATCACAGCAACACGCAAGCCCCCATAGTATGACAAACTGACAGATGTGGGGGGGATTTTTTATAATTAAAGTTAAATAATTTAACTTTGATTTAAATATATAAGAATATATTCAAAGACGAGGCTTGTGCTTGCATAAAAATTTAAAAGTATATTTTATTTTTAAGTACATGTTATTTATTAGTTATTTCAATGAATCAAGCACAGATTTATGTCTTTCAATGTTGTTTGACTTACCATCGTTAAAAATAAAGTTGGGATGCAAATCTTAGGATAAGGTTATATTTTCTAATAACTTAAAAAAATTTTATTCTACCTAATTACTACATTTATTAGTGATCACTTACAGCCAAATTTTGAGCATGACTATGTTTTAAGTTTATAGTAAGGAGTTCACTTGACAAATGATTGTGACGATGCTATTTCTTAACTCTTCCTGCATTATCTGAAGTTTGCATTTAAACAGGTGCAGTAGCTTTGGCCTGGTCTACCGAGCAACCCAGTCCTATTTGTTAATCTTTCCCTAAGAGTTCTTTTCTAACACTGATTATTGATCTAACACAATTTGACACTAATTCTTTGGTTTTGTGGGTTTATTTATTTAATTGATAATAAATGTTAATATTTTAGACTCATCAATTGGCAGACCCCTGGGCTAAGTTCAGTTCAAAAATGTTATCACATAATCTTCATAATGACTCGGAGGTAAGAATATTTATGATGCACTTTTATCCGTTGTCTTCTGACTCCGGGGTGGTTATTTATAAAGACAATGCAAATTAAGGGTTGAGAGGAAATCCAGTAAAGTAATTATGCCCGTGGGTGATACAGTTTAAATTTACATGAAAACTCTTTACTCTCAGCTTTTCATTCCTGCCTGAACAACACACAGACACACAGACACGCACACACGAGGTTTTTTGTCTTTATTTTCTCTGACTCTAATCAGGGTAGGTCTTTCTTTACTTTCTATCATCTACTTTGTCTCAACTGGGAATCATTTATTTTTGAGATAATTATGCATTCACCAAGAAAGCTGAGAGAATCTTGACATGTAAGGTCTATAAACAAACCAACAGCATTCTTACTTGGTTGATACGACAACAGCATCAAGTCTGGCTGCTGTCCATCTCGACAGCATGTCATAAATATGTAATGCTGAAATAAAGGAGTAAAAGCAGGATGTCAGTGAGAACAGACAAATGAAGAGAAGGAGGTTTTCTCCACTGAAATCCTACTGTGCTTGTTTTATATTCCTGCAGTTCACCACTTGTGCCACATTAAAATGCTCAGGAGACATATTAATAACACTGGATGAATCCATGAGAAACCACCATCCGCAACTCCGTGAAATGTGATTTTCTCAGTAAACCTCCTAATTGCCCTTTGTCTCCTTTCTCTTCCATCCTAAATATTTCGTCCCTGGTTCTTCTAAACTGGCTTTACTCTCAACAAGACTAGCCCCACCTCCCTTAATGGAAGAAATATTGCCCCTGGCTTGACCAGTGTATGGTCAGATAGATGAGCCAAGGAGATATAGAAGGAATTGTGGTAACAGAGAGGGTCCAACTAAGTCTGCATGGGAACAATAGAAAAACTTCTGAAAATAACTGGGATACAATTATGCCTCCTTAATATACAGAAAACGGGAAGCTGGAATTTTTCATTTACTGCTCACATCTGCACTGCCATCCTAAAAATGTATCTGGCTTAGGTCTGTCCTAGCCTCTTTTTTCTTGTCTTGGAGGAAGGCTTAATGCTCTTCTCATCCATTTCCAACCTTCCTATCCATATCAAATCTTTTCCCCATGCTCTGAATCTGCTGCCTTTATTCCTTTGGTATGCTCCTCCATCGGTCAACACTCCCAGCCCATCTATTGCTCCAGCATATTTCTATTTATTGCCTTTATTTCCTTCAGTCTTCCAAACTGTTCGTGTCTCTCAAAATAAAAAATAAAATAAAATGCTCTTACTTAACTCTCCTTTTGATTTATTTCAATATATTATTCTATTGTCTATTCCTTTCAAAACTAAGTCCCTTTAAGGCCAGCAATCAGTCTTTCCACATTCTTAACTCCCGCTTTTTGCTTGACGCAGTGTGTTTCTATGTGAATATTCTGTCAAATTTCTCCTGAACAAGATCAACACAAAAAGTTCAATGTCCAAGAGACATGCTTCCATCCTTATCTTACCTAACATCTCTGTATCACTCAGTACTTTGTATTACTGCCTATCCCTTGAGACTCTCACTTCCTTTGGTTTTCTTTTCAGTTTATTATCTCTTTGATCATTTCTTCTCCACACTTTTCTTGTAGCTTATTCTTCCACCCAAATCTTATGTCTGTGTTTCCCAGGGGTCTGCCATCACCCTCTCAGCCATCCTAGTGCAAACAAGACAATCATCTTAGAGCCAACTAATCTCTCTCTGTGTGCTAACTTCCCACATCAATTGACACATTTTGTTTAATTTCAACCTTGTGACATTTCGCGTCTGGACTAATTCATTCTTACTCTCTGGAGTTCAGGGTTCTTAATTTAGACCCCAATTCAATGTCCACGGAGCCCTGGTGGTACAGTGGTTGAGAACTCTGCTACTAACCAAAAGGTCAAGAGTTCAAATCTACCAGCCACTCCTTGGAAACCTTATGGGGGAGTTTTACTCTGTCCTATAGGGTTGCTTTGAGTTGGAATTGACTTGACAGCAACGGGTTAATCTCTACACTCTCAGTATTCCATTCATGTGAAATAAAGAGATGAATATTAAGGAATCTGGGACTCGGGAGGGTTAAGTGACTTTCTCAGAGTCACACAATTGGAGTTGTTATCACAATCCTTCCACTTGTAAATGTAGTCCTTTTTCTACTCTGAGACTATACTCCAAGAAGTTTGCAGCCTGCATCCTTGATCTTGACTACCCTGGCCATGAGTCAGGATTGACTTGATAGCACCGTGTTTTGGTTTTATTTTTATTTTTTTGGTTATTATTTCCTACATTTATCACTTTATAACACACTGCATGTTTTATATATTTCTCACTGTATTAGTGGTGGACCATTAGAATGCAAACTCCAGGAAAGAAAGGATTTTTATCTGTTCGAAGATATAGCCAAAGCTCCTAGAACACTGCCTGGCACCTAGTAGATCTGTGAATAAATGCATTAACACGTCTAGCAGTCCAGTAATATGAAATGGAGAGAAATAAAAAATAGTAAGCTATGTGCTCTTAGACTGATTGCAAAAAATAGGAAAACGTTAGTCTCAACTCTACTGAGGTTGATAAGAAAAGCATGTATGGAAGAGAGTGATTTGAACCTTCTAGGCAGAGTAAAACCTTGCCAGGAGAACAAGGCAAGGGCAAGAGACTGTAGTGTCCTAGCAGAAGGTCATTGTATACTGACTAATTCCTGTAGAATTTTTGCAAACTATCTCAGTGACAAGAGTTTTCAAAGTGGTCACTTACCAGCACTCCCCAGACACCAGCCACCACCATGAATGTAAAACACACCCCTTCTTAGCGCTGCGGACTTCCTCTTTGGCTTGTACACACGGACATGAATGTTGTTGAAAGTCGTCTCGCTCACAGTGACATTCTCATCTGAGGTTGGTGGGACTTCAGGAAAGCTCATGAAGAACATAAAGGTATCCATATAATGGTTAATTCCTAGAAAGTCAAGAAATGCAGCCTAAAAACGAAATTCAAATGTCAAATTTCAAAAACACCATGACATATAAGTAAATATTAACCTCTAATAAGTGCAGATGAACTAATCTCTCACAAGTGAATCTTCTTCAGGCTTTTCAGAAGAATCAGAATTGTGGAGGTTTTAGCCTATTGTGGTTGTAAAAAGGAGGATGAGGACCCATTTTGTCCATAAGTGTCAGGTTCTCTACTAAAGCATTAAGGTCACACAGATGAACAAGAAACATGTTTTTTTTCAAGATTCTTGGAGTTAAGTGGGGAAGACAAGTAAGTAAACAGTTACAAACCAATGTGGATGCTGTTATAGAACACTGCAGGAGGTACTTTGGGAGCACAGGCAGGTAATTACAAAAACTCCCTGGGAGTAGCAAACAGAAAGGAGTTTTCAAGCAGGAAGTACAAGTTCATGAGTCTTGGAAGTAAGATCTTTTCTTAAGAATTTGGCAAAACAAAGGAAGGGAACATCCTTCCTGGCAGAGCCAGTGGTTTACTTGGAGATGGGGAGGCTCTTGTTGATATAGCTAGGTATGACTGGGTACCAGTAGGGGCTGGGAGACAGGGTTGAGACTGAAAGGAATGGGTGGGCACAAAAGGAAGTGCCAGCATACCTGCCTGCATCCTGTCCATTCACCCTACAAGTCCGTGTTCTAAGCACTTTATGTGTATTAATCTTGAATTAATTTCAATACTTTTAGTGACTCACCTACAAATGAGGTATGCAATGTAATCACATGCATTTCAGAAATAAGGAAAATCATTGCAGAAGGTTAACTAAGCAGTCCAACTTTACATAGCTAGTAACACGACCGTAAATCTAGCAGTGTGATTCTTGATTTAATGTACATAGCATAATCTGTCCATAAATTTAGATACTCAAAGATTGCCAGTCATTTGAGGAAACTGAGCTAAACTCTTCAGGAAAAAAATAAAAAGGTAATCAAGAGAGTAAGTGACAGATAAAATCCACATAATTCAGGAAAGAGAAAAACATTAACATAATTGTAAAAATCTGTGTTCTTTGAGAGCTCTGAAAATACATCACATTCATGAATCATGAACAGGCTGCAATAAAAGGGGACCAGAGAAGAAGAAAAACTAAACAAATTAGAAATATGTTTTCTTACACACATTTTAAAAAGTAATTAGTAGCAGGACTCAACAGAAAATAAAAGACATCTCTCAAATTGTAGATCAAACAGAGAAACTATGAGAAAAAATGGTTTCCTTCTTTAAACTCTTAAATAGCTTTACATTGCACATAGAACTGAATTAAAACTCACAACCATTGCCACAAAGTGTTGTATAATAATACCTCTAGCCTTTCCAAATTAAATAGCAACACTTGCCCCATTAGTCCTAAATGCCTCATATGATTTCTTGAAGTTGGCAATATTTTGCAGCTGGGACTTTTGTGCTTGTTGCTCGCTCTAAATGGAAAAGTTTTTCCTCAACACTTAGGGTGGCTGGTTCCTTTTCAAACTTCCAGTCTCTAGGCAGAGGTTTCCTCTTCAGAAAGGCTTTCTCTGACAGTAGGCCCATCCATGCCTTCTGCCCACGCTTCTCTTTTCATCCTGTTTATCTGCAAGGCACTTCTCACATTCTGAAATAATGCATGCTTTTGATTGTGCTTTATTATATTTCTCTATCACTAGAATGTAAGTTCCATGAGGGCATAGTCCTTGTGTGTCTAATAAAATTTGACGGAGAGTTGAATTGTTGAGTAAATGAGAAATAAAAGAGTAATCTGGGAATTACATAATCCATCTGATTTAAATTCTAGCAAAGAGATAATAGAAAAATGGGGGGGATAATATAATCCAAGAAGTAATATGAAACACTCCCAAAGCACCTGATCGAGCCACGCCTTTTTTCAAGGGCAAACCTAGAGCTGCTCTGGCAGGTAGCCCGGTTCCATGACACCCCAGGACCCCCCTTCCATTTTTGCATGTCCCGCCTCTCATAGCTGACTTGGGCGTGTGCCCGTCAGCCTACCTACACAGCATTTCTTTCTAGACGCTGAATCTGAGACTACACCAAGTTTGTAACCTACATGGTGCTGCACAATCGGATGAGATCGATTTCTTTAGGCGTTTAAATGCCAAGCAACATCTAAGACGGGAGTGTCAAACGACGGCCACTTTCATGACATGAATGCTCCCTGAAAAGAGCATTTTTTAGTAAAACCTACTCAAATGCCTCCTTGCTTGTTCGTCTTGAGATTTTTTAACATGATTCTGATGGATAAAATAGGAAGCCAAGAGGAAGAAATAAACAAGGAAAGTTTTAACAGTAAAAAACACAAAGGCTGCAGCACTTATTTTAAAAAGGTAAATAAATAAATAACGCAAAATAACCGAGGAATAGAATCCTGGAAAACTTGGTTCTCCATCTCAAATGGTTGCATATGCACCTCTGAATCCATGAAGTTCCACACTCACCAAATGTGGTGCAGTTCTCAACTGTGTGCCCAACCACACCATTCTTCATGGCTCCTCCAAATTATCCGGGAGAGGTGTATAAACATAATATGCTACAAGGACCCCCACAATCAGAAGGTACAGGGATTTCCCTCCCATGCTGTAGTTCCTCTGTGCTGCCTTCTTTGGAAACAAAAAGAAAAAACTTGATATGCTAGAACAGTGTACTTTAATAGCCAATGTGTTCAGCTCCACCTTAGCTTCTGAATACATAGTTTCTTACTTAGATTTAGGATCCACATAATCGAGCTAAAATTTCACTGGCTATCCAGAGAAAACCACACCGAGTAAAAGTTCAAAGTTCAATGAGTAACGTGAATCTTTGTCAAGTTCTGTCAGCTACTGTACTGTTGTTTTTATTCCAGTAAACAAGTACGTATTCAGCAATCACTAGCTAAAGAATACTTTAATTCTAACAAAATTGTCAATAGAAAACATACAGGATGTATAATCCTTGTTCTAACTTCTCCAAGAATGCCAAAAAAAACAAAACAAAACAAAACAAACCCGTTGTCATCGAGTCGATTCTGATTGATAGCAACCCTAGAGGACAGAGTAGAACTGCCCCCATGGAGTTTCCAAGGAGCGACTGGTGGATTTGAACTGCCGACCTTTTGGTTAGCAGCCAAGCTCTTAACCACTGCGCCGCCAGGATCCTGTCCTAGAATAGGGAAAACAAATGGACTTAATTTTAGAATGTGACAGTATAGCAAACAAGGTAGCCATGGTCTCTGCCCTTACAGAATTTACATCATCAGGCAGAATATGAAACATATTAGCAATGACGTCTGATAAGTTTTTGATAGGGGAGTTTAAAATAATGATGACAATATTGATAAAGTGATGTGTGGAAAGCAGCCTCTGTGTGGTTATGGGTCACCTGAATGCCAGCATTCTGAAGTCAGGTGACATACATGAGTCCGTCATCTCTTAAGACGTCATATTGACAGGTGATGATATAGGTCAGGGGTAAATTACACAACTTGCTGTCATCAGCCAGCCAGGGTGAAGCTCTCACATCTAGGAACCCTGGATATTTTTTAGCCAGTTCAGATCTACTGGGAGTTGGATTCTTATAAATGTGACCTTTCTTAAACCTCTCAGGGAGCAAGGAACTCCAATTAACAAATTTGAACAGGTGGCTTGATTCCACTGGTACGTGTTGTTTGGACAGCATGGCTTTTTCAAGGGAACTGTCTGTGGTAAAACACTCGCTCCACAACCGAGCCCTGAATGATTTAGTCAGAAATAGAAAATGTGTGTTTTCCCAATATGATGGCAAATCCATATCAAGAGCCTGAAGAGGTGGATAAATCAGAGACTGAATCTTGAGTTTGGTCTTGACAAGTGGATCATCTAAGAGCTGAAAACCAGTTTAAAATAAGTTGTTCAAGTGAATAATTATTATTTAAAAACATGTATTTTTATTTAAAAATTGTAGATTGACACAAGATAAAAATGGCAAAAAGATCATCGAAAACAATATGAAACATTGTATCTAAAAACTTTTCCAATTTTCACTATTATGTCTTTA